CAGTGCCAGGCAGGCACTAGATGGGAAAACTAGAGCCAGTACGCGCTCGGGCGAACAGGAGGCTCCAGTTTCCTGCACAAAGGGATTCATGGTGGGAGGGAGGGGGCTGGGTGTCTGAGGGAGCAGGAGAGTAGGAAGTGAGGGCCAAGGCCAGGGAGTCCCTGTGCCGGTGGCAGCTGGGCCACGCCCCCGTTTGGCTGACAGTGACCTTGAGCCTGGTCTGAGTCTCTCTGGAGCCTGCCCAGGTGGGGCATGAGGAGGATCCCCGGAGTGGGTACTTGAGTCTGCATTGGGGACCTTGGGAAGGCGGCTGGACAGAGGGGTGTGGAGCTTGGGAGAGACAGACCAGGGCATGTGACTGGTGTCCAGGGCCTGGGGAGTGGGAAAGGGAGGGGTCTCAAGGGTGGGAGGCCCAGGCAAGCCCAATGTCACAGAAGCCAAAAGATGGGTATTCCAGAGAGGTGGCCACCAGCAGATGTGGGCATGGTGTGTGACCCAAGAGGCTAGTGGCCTTGGGGCTGGGGGAGAGAGGCTGAGCAGATTTTCCGGGAAAGAAAAGGGAATCTGAGAGGGGGGAGGACTCTTCCTGTGGCTTCCCTGGAGTGGCCCCATCTCAGGTGGCCCCCAGGCAACAAGGGGAGGAAGACAATTCCTGAGGAGGGTGAGTCTGCATTCCTTGGGTGTGGGCCGCCATTTGTCACTACCCCTGAAGGTCAGCCCCCCTCTCCAGCCTGGGATGGGAGTGGGGCGAGGGCTGGCTGGTGGTCCACCTGAGCCACAACAGGACAGAAGGAGGAGGCCAGGCTGCCTCCGCCCACAGAGGGAGGCAGCAATCTTGGCCTTTGCCTGACTGTGGGCAACTGCAGCAGGGTCCCACCCACCTCCGTGGGGCAGAGACCAGTGGCCACAGAAGCTTGGCATGACAGGAGGGTACAGGGAAGGCAGAGCCCCTCCCGACCCTGCCTCCGGAGGATCTTGCCTGTGCCCACCCATCCCCGACAGCAGGTAGCACCCCAACTGGCCAGGGCCCCAGCCAGGAGCAGCACTCGCCCTCAATTTGTCAGCTTAATTACCTCGCACCACCCACCACCGTAGGCGGCCGACTCACTCCTGCCCCTAGTGTCCGCACCCCCTCCCCACGCCCCGCCCCACAAGGTGCCCCACCCCCCGCCCCCGGCCAGGAACCTGACCTGCCGGACCCCGCCCAGAGCGGCACACCAGCCCTGCCGGGAAACCGCGGGGTCGGGGGCGGCATCTCCCACGTCCGTGCTAGTAACCTGGACCCTCGCCCACCAGGGCTGTAGGGAGGTCAGCGGCCCGGCTGGACGAACGGCCCAGCCCGAGCCCAGAGCTCAGGCCGCTCCACTGGCGCGTCGCGCCCCCACGCGCGCCCCCCGCCCCAGCCTTCCCGGACCCAGGCCCCGGTGCCCTCGGAGGAGTTTCGGTTTCGCTCCCGGGCCTGGCCTGGCCTGCGTGTCCCACCTGCCTGCACGGCGCGCCCAGCTCTCGGCTGCTTAGTCCCTGGCTCGCTGCTTGGCCGGTGC